AGGATTAAGCCAACCCAATCTAATCATAATTGTCCGGTATCAACGACATCCACTCCTCCCAAGGACGATGAGAATTAGGTAGTGAACATATCCTCAATCCCTGTTGATTCCGAAACGTTGGATCTCCTGAGAAAGGGTTACATTTTTACTAGGAAGTTAAGGAAAGATTTTAGAAAATATCCTCATCGAAGTTATCAGCATCACGGAGACTTACCCAGAAGAGACCAAATGAGAGAACGACATAGAATTAGTCCCGATAATCGTGTCCAATAAAGGGCCAAATGAAGTGAATGAATAGAGGGAAATACGTTGAAAATTACAAACAAATGAGCAAATATTTCTTTAGACGGATAAGAGAGGCGCGATGATGATAATTGACAGGCAACAATACACGGAGAAAATAGAGAGTATCCTAGGCGAATGGAATACTTAACAAATACTAATAAAGGATCCAGCAATGAAGATCAACGAAATACTCAAGGAAATGCAGAACAACGGAGAAATCGACAGATGATTGATGAGTTCGTTAATAAAGATGGCGCAAGATCACCGACAGCCTACGGATTACCAAAAATACACAAGGAAGGAAAGCCGCTAATAGTAACAGTCAGCAAGAAGCACGGAGCAACACTATAAGCTAGCGAAATCTATAAGTTAGAATCGTCATAAAGTAAACGACAGACACTACAACATCGTAATGAAGTCATATGAATTTTATCAGAGGATACGAAATATTGGACTGACAGGGACGGAAATTTTCTTCGATTTGACGTACGAATCAAGGAATAGCAAAGACTTCAGAAACATGGATCGGTAAAAACTGAAATATCGGAATACATCTCACAGACGGGACACGAAATCGAATTGAAATCGGCAAATGGTGAAAATACAAGAAAACGCAAGAAATGAGAAACCATCAATATTCTGACTGGAAGAAATCTAATGAACAGGAACCATTATAAGGCAGCATTAGCGAAAACTTTGTATACTGCCTAAGCAAACTCGGAGCAGATCATGGAACAGTGATATCAACAAAAAGAATACGACTGGACAAAGTTAATATTTTTTATTTTAGGAAAAGAAATTACAAGGAGACCAGAGAGGAAGAATCGGAAGTGAATAAAAGCAGTTTACAATGAGCCTATTCAAATCAAGTAGAACTATTACATTTGAGGTCGGCACGCAACAGACTTGGGCCTAATAATGTGATAGACATGGTATTCGAAATAGAAGAGTGAGAGGAATGGTGGAAATCATTGCTAGTTAGCTATTAGTAGATATGTTTGCTCATAGACGTGGTTCATGAAGTGAAGGCCCTACCATGAGATTTACTCGGTGCACATGCCGTACAGCGTCAAGTTAGGTTTCCATGCCAATTGAGCATCCAGACTTTAGGTCCTTGCTCAGTGAGGTTGGTGTATATGTGCTGTCAAAGTCTGGAGCCAAAGTGTAGAACATTACGCCTTGAGTGGCACAGATACAGTGGCAACGATGGAGTGAAATCACTGAGACAGACAGACAAGGAAAGGATCCTACTGAGCAAGAGGGAGACTCTGATAGGACGCGAAGGGAGAGGATTGCGGATTAAACCGCAGCCTTGGACCAACACTCCAGACAGAGTGAGAGATATGTGGAAACCAGCGGGGAGTGTGAATAGGGTCAAAATAGGTTTATATAAACAAGAAAGGAATTGTGATATTGAAGGGGTGATACGAAGATATAGGATAAGTGAGTAGTCCAAGACAGGAGAGATACCACAATTGTTTAGCAGGCAATTGGTCAAAGTATCGACTTTACTTGTCTCTGATGAGTTGCAGTGTGGTGCCAAGATTAACATGGCTAACTGGCAAAACGTCAGATAATGTATCAAGTACACGGTCCGGCTCTGAAAATTGTTATGCATTCTTTGGACTCCGGACATGGCGCGTTCCATGTAGGTTGTCCTGCCAATATAACCAAGTTTCGGATACAAGGTCAAACAACCTCTCTATAACGAAAGGAGACAGCGACCATACAAATGGCCGCACCATCTTAGTCTTAATACCTTTGATTATTCGCATACATTATTAGTTTATTTTTTGTATTTAAGTAGAGTTTCGAAAATACCAGTAAATCAGCAATATGAAATGTATTCACCCTATTTCCTTTAAGGTGATGAAGGAATGGTAGTACAATTTTCCCACAATGATATGTGTAGAGATGATGTTTCATTACCACGAGTGCCCTTGGGTCACAGGACAGATGTGGATTTCAAGGAAGGCCAGGCCTTTTGCCATATCACATTCTTTGATGGGATTGTCGATGAATCAAACATATTTTTGCTATAACAATCGACTACATTACTTATTTTTCGATTGTAAGTTGAGTTTTAACATCTCGAAACTCTTCTTAGATACGAAAAATATGTAACGCATCGATTTAAATAGTAAAAATTCGTCCACTTCTTCGACAATCCCACCAAAGAATGTGATATGGGAAACGGCCTGGCATTCCTTGAAATTCACATATTGCCCTGTGATCGAAGGCCACTCGTGGCAATGTGGCCGAGTAGTTAACTTTTCAAGCTCACATGCTTCACTGTCACGGTTACATTCCCGCTGGGGGTTTTGATAAGATCGATGCGAGGTTGAAACTGGGGTACACCCTGGACGAGAAAAACTTTTGGGTAAGCAAGGATATGTGAAATTCAATGGAAACGTCAGCTCTACTCATATCATTGTGGGAAAATTCTACTAACAGTCCTTCCTCACCTTAAACGAAATAGAGTGAATACATCTTATATTATTAGTTTAACCGTAAAATCTGAGAATAATTTTTTCGATAAAATCAATCGTTGCCATAGTGATAACATGGGAGAAATTTGCCTCAAACGGAATGGTTTTCCCAACCTTAATCAGGATTTATTCTTAAGCCGATAATTTTGCCAACAGAGCCATAACACTTGTCTGCAGCAATGTATAGTCCAAACTTGAGCACAAACATACATAAAAATTAACTAAATCAACCAATTTTATTGTCCCGTCGCTCGATGCAATTGCAGGGCCGTAATACAGAGGTGAACGGCCGAAAGCATAATTGTGACGGCTGAGATGAATGTGATCAATACGAAACTGGCTTCACGCTCGACGTCTCTAGCAACCAGTGCCAAGGAGACGATCCCGCCGACTATAAAACAGCAAACAGTATCTGTGCACAAGACCAGAATGAGGATATAGATGAGAAAACGTTTCGGCTGCACGGCCAGAATGACGACGGCTACTGAGCCAGTCAATATGAAGATTCCGGAATAGATGCCATTGCCTTTACCACTCTGTCCTCCCTCGGCATAGCACATTTTGACAATTTCGGTGAGTAAGTTTATCAGTCCCAGAGCTGCGTAGAGTAGACCAGTAGAGAGGTGCATTGCACGCGAGTAGGGCTGTGCCCGTAGAACCTGCTCTTGGGCGTTACTTTGCTCTCTCAACTGCTCGGCCGTCATAAGCTCGATCTCACCAGGCCTGGACAAATCCTCGCATCTGGCAACCTCGAAGACTTCTCCTTTGACCCCAGCTCCATATCCAGTCTCATGTGGGCCGTAGCCTAGGGCGTCTTCTCTGTTATGCGACTGGCCTGGATGCATGTCGTCCATTAACTTGAGTTGCTTACACCAGAGGTCTAGGCAGGGCTGGAGGATTCTTTGAAGGCT